ACCATAAGCCAGTGCTTTGGTAAGAAGGCTGTGAGCCTTGCTCCCCAGGCTCAGTGGTGCAGAAGCACTGTGAACCTCAAGCCTCTTCCCTGGGGCTGGGCTGCTGAGGTAGCTTCAAAAAACTGTCCCCCTCCATCTGCCCAGCTGTGTCCCAGGTACAGTGAGCATGTGCAGTCCATGCCCTGGTATCACTCCCGCACCTTGGACTGCACCTGGCCTAGCGCCACAACAGGCCCACCCTGAGGGAAGAGGTTGACCCCAGCCAGCCTGCGCTTCCCTAGCAGGGGAATCACAACCAGGACACCCTCTTAGTGGCTGAGCTGAGTGTGTCACCTAGTGAGTTACTGAAAGGGACTGATGTGGGTTAGAGAAGTCCAGCCCCAGTTTCAAGGGGCAGCAGGTGTAATGGGAGGTCACCCACGTGATCTCCACTTGATCCCAGCTTGCAGGTGAAGTTGGGCAGGTATGCTTCCCTCCGCCCAGTTCTCAGGTGGAGCCCAACCTGTGCCTGTGCGGCATCTTCACAGCACATTTTATAGCTTATTTGTTCTCCCTGGAAACTCAGGAAAGGACACCCTGGAACCTCAGAGAGGTTCAGAAACATTTCCAGGACTGCACATCAGAAGTCGTCCCCTTCCCTCAGCAGGACAGGTGGGGTGTGTGTGAGCTGGAGGGGCACAAGGGACATGACAGAGAGGCACAGTGGGCAGTGTTCCTCTGGAAACCCAGTCCCCAACCCCAGGCCCTGAATGTGCATTCTGTGATGAGCAGGTTTGGCAAGGAACCGGGTGCTTCCCGGGCTCCTTCGCTCTGTCTTGAGCTGCTTTTCTCTCATTTCTGCTCTTTTAAAAATAACATCATTCATTTTTCCTACTGTCAACAAAATCATGCTCAAAACAGCGTTATTTTAAAATGCATAGGTAAGTGAAGATTTAGTCCCATTTTGGAAAGAATCACTGCTAACACTTTAAGTATCTTTCAAACACTTTTTCTGATTGTTTATACCTATGTAAGTGTGTGTGTGTGTGCGTGCATATGTGTATCTATTTTGCCCATTAGTTATATTTCTCTAAAAGAGGAAGGTAGGGAATATTTCAGGTCCACAAGCCCCTGCAGCCTGGCAGGACCTCACTGGGCTTGCAGCCTGTGAGCTAGAGGAGGTCCCTTTCTCTGCCAGAGAGCCTCCACCACCCTCCGGCTCTTGAGGGCAGTGCCACTCCTGGCCACAAGGGGGGGATGTTTGTCCGTGATCGTGTACCAGAGACCCTGACACCAACCCTTCGTCCCCAGATGGATCTTGGCTGGTTACAGGATCTAGCAACGCTGTATCAGGGTCACCCAGTCACTCCTGACTTTATTCTGCTCACTGCACCTGTTGGAAATTTTGCTTCATGAGGAAAAGAATTCATAGACTCACTCTTAGAACTTGACACCATACAGGTCTCCCCTCATCTTACAGCCTTGGGCTTCAAGCAAGAGAAATGACAAAGCTGCTCAGGCCATGCCACGTACCTCCGCACCCCCACCACCTTGCCCTGGCTTCCCAGGTCCAGTCTGGGCTCCCCGCTCTCTCCTTCCCCTCCCACTTTGGCCTTCTTACGGCTGCTGTCACTCTGCCCTGTCAGCAGAAGACCCTCCCACAGGCTTCTCCCTGGCAGGCTTTCGCCAGCACTTCACCAGAAGTCTTTCTCAGCCCCGCAAGTCACAGAGTTCTCTTCTGCGCTTCCGCGAGGCCCACGCTTCCTCTTTCAAAATGCAGGACATACTTCACTGTCTGCCTCCTTCTGGAGGGGAAGTTCCGTGAGGGCAGGGACCCTGATGGTCTGGTTTCCCTCCCGTATCCGGCTCCTCAGCACAGCGCCTGGTGCTCCAGGGACTGGGGGATGGCTGGGAGAGCCTTTGTGTTCCAGGGGCAGAGTCTGCAAAAGCTAGCCCGTTTCTCTCCTTCCTCCCCCTGTCCTCGAGGCCCACCAGTGCCCCTCACTGTCCCCTAAGATATGGGAAATAGATCCCCAGGGACAGTGTTGCAGAAGGACCAGTCTCTCTTACAGTGATGAAAAGACAGAGGGATTTGGCCTAGGACAGATCTAACTGCCACTTGCCAGCTGTGCCTATCTTATTTCTTATATTTGTAAAGTAACGAGACAGTGGCACTCATTCTGCAGGGTCCAGTGACAAATCACATGCAGCCTGACACAGGAGACAGCCATGGAGTCACAGTTGTCCCTCCCTCCCAGCGCTGCCCCTGCCTAAGCCCCCTTCTGGATCCTTGGAACACAGACACCCCTGTCATCTCAGGGCTGCTCTTTGTTTCCTGACCTCCCTCTTTTACCCCTAGGTGGCCCAGGCCACCTGCCACTCATGCCTCCTTCTTCCCTGTCATGGATCTCAGACAAGTATCGGGACCAGGCCCTGGGCAGGGCAAATTCTCTAAAGGTGGCTGTCTGGTGATGAGTGGGCCAGCGAGAGCAGCAGCCAGGGGAGCGGGCCAGTAGTCACCACCGGGGGATGGGAGGTGGCCTCCCCTGTTACAAGCCAAGCAGAGCATACTCGAAGGTGCAGGCACCAGGACCTCTCGTAAGGCTGAGACTGACACAGCCTGGGCTTTGCTGAGCAGCAAGGGAGGGGGGAGATGGCGGGCCGCGCCCAGCTCTGCCTCTGCCCAGTGCAGCCTGGGCTCCCCTGCGAGTGGCCCCTGAGGAGCCTGCGTGTAGACCACGCCGTCCGCTGGGCTGTCAGAGGTGTCTGCTGTCCTTACAGCCAAAGTCCATTTGCTGCTAGAAACCCAGGTGCCAACAGGACCATGCTCCAACCCCGCCCCTCCCCACGGTGCCCTCTCGTGTGGACACTTGAGGTCACAGGTGCTCTGAGCCCCCCTCGCTGTCCTCCTCAGGCCCCTCCTTGGCCTCCCTGTCTGGAGGTGGGAGCTTTGTCATCCATGACGAGTATCCGCCCTCTCTCCTGCGGAATCTTCCACAGATGAATAAGAGCTGATTTCCCTCATGGTCCCCACCCCATTCATCCATTCAGAAGCTCTGGCTTCCAGTGTTGGTCCGCGCCTAGGCGCTCTGGGAGCGTCGAGCCCTTCATTGGGATGTGCGTGTTATCCCGTGTGACTCCCCAGAGCGGAGCTCTGACGTAGGTTCCCGCTTATTCTGTGCCGGATGTGCCCGTGCTGGCCTCGGAGCTTCCCCGTTGGTGCTATTCATAGGGAGCCTCTCGTCTGAATTGGGGATGAATGGAAATTTTCTCTTATTCATAATATTCAAAGATCTCCTCGCTCTGTGGATTCTTTGCTTTCCTGCCAGTGCTGGCCATATGCTGGGCCACGTGCTTGCCAGCAGATCAGGGTTGGGCTCAGCGTCTGCAGTTCCTGGAACTGTCTTCCCTATCGTAAAGTTCCTCCAAATCCCAGCCCCTGTCCTTTCACATGGCCCCAGGATCCTCCTTGGCAGGAGACAGTGTGTTGACAGTGTGTGCCCAGCCTGAGCCTCCTGCCGTGATGGCACCCTGGGAAGCGAGGGTCCCAAGCCCCGGCTTCTGAGACAGATCTCCACCAGTGTGCATGGACCCTCAAGCCTCTGACTGCAGTAGCCAGAGGGGAGAGGGCAGGGGAGCAGCCTGGCAGGAACAGCAGTGCCCCTGGAATGCTGCCCCCCCCCACTCCCTTTCTCTGCCCTCCCCAAATGGCACAGCTCCCTTGGAGCCTCCCTGGAATGCTGGAACCTGGAGTTCCACTTCCCCACCTTCCTGTGGAGTCACTGCCCATAAAGGCTAGATAGCACTCAGGCCGGGCTCGCCCTCCGTGGTCTATTTATACCTTTTTTTTTTTTTCCTCAAACAGACTTAAAACTCTTTGAAGAAGAGCCACATTGTGTCCCTTGGATCCTCCCCAGCACCTTCAAGCATTGACACCTCAGAATCGTGGTGGGGCTTGGAAGCTGCGTGGGGCTATGGTGCCGCCCTCTGAGCAGAGGGTCCGGGATGTGCCTTTGGCTGAAGGCGCGGCTTCCTTCTTGGGGATGGCTGAAATTCTCTTCTGGTCACACGGGGCAAAAGGTGACCTTGTATTTACTGCCGTCCTTTCCAGCCCACCACAAGGCAGGCTAGCCAAGGTAGCCCCAGAGACCATCAGGTGGCTGGCCATCTGTCCCCATTGCCTCAGCTGTGCCGGAGAGATGTAACTATTTGCCATATGTTGTGCTGGGCCTGGGAGGGACCTGGGAAAGGACAGGCAGGGAACAGCCAGAATTCATTCGGTGGGAAAGCCGCCCATCCCAGCACCCTGGTTAAGTATGACTGGCTCAGGACCTTCCTCCACGTGAACTTGGAGCTCCTTGTGGGCAGAGCTGTGTCTTGGGCCTGTCCCTGCTTCACGGTGCCTGGTTCAGCAAATAGGTAGCTGTTTGCAGAGTGTCTGCCTTGGAGTAATCACTCTTTAGCTCCTGACACCTGACAACCAGGGCTCATGGAGTAACAAGGAGAGCAGAAGTAGGATGACTGTGCTTTCATCCCACCTGGGTCCTCTCCACCTCCTGTGAGTACATCATCCCATGGTATGTGGCTAAATTCTAGGTCCCAGGCACAAAGTACAGGAAAGTCCCTTTATCTTTTATTAATTGCAAATTCTCTCTCCCCCTTGAAAAATGGGACAAACTGCTTAAGTCTGTGTTTTTGTGTAGCCTAGGAGTTCTCCACTAACTTTCTTTAAAAGCAAGTTAAAACTGTAGGGACAGTAAGAAATCATCCTTAGTGGTGGCAACTGCATTTTCTAGAAACACATTTTCTACCCAGGTGACCTTTGGCTTGGTGAGCCTATCCTGGGCCATGGAGCTTTAAGGAGAGGAGAGTGTGCCTAGCTAGCTGCCCCTCCTGGGCCCACCAGGGGCCACCTGCTCACCCACTGGCCTCTGGGCCAGAGGGGACAGCCAGGCACCAGCTCTACGTTCTCTAGCCTGAAAGTTTATAGATGGTGTGTCATTTATAGTGAGTCTCCAGAATATTCTCTCAACCTGAAAGTTTATAGATGGTGTGTCATTTATAGTAAGTCTCCAGAATATTCTCTCAAATTTCTCTTGTAATAACTGTCCCAAGCAGTTTATGAAATTATGAAGACAAGAGATTGAAGTGGATAATCCGAGGAGCAAAGGCTTGCGGGGCAGGGGGGATCCTAAACCAGGGCCCCCTGAAGGAGGCAAAGGCCACTCACAGAGGGTGCAAGGCTTCTGGGAAGTTGCTCGAGAAGTTGAGTCTATATGGAGAGTGCTGAAGAGGCCCCACCCATCCCCATCGCGAGGACCGCAGCTGCCAAGCCAGCCTGGTGATGTCTCCTCGCAGGCCTGCTCTGCCGAGAACGCCGTGAGCAGAATCCCGTTTAATCTTCTCAACAACCCTTTGTAGTAGGTATTTTTATTTCTAATTTTACCCTACAAATGAAGGAAATAAGATGTGGAGAGGTTGAATCACTTGCTCAAGGTCATGCAGCTACTAAGTAGAGCTAGAGCCCAATTCCTGCCTGTGCTATTAAAAGTTGGGGGTTTCCCCATTGTAGGATTTTTAATTCCGTTTGCTGGAATGCCAGCCCATTTTCGGTCCTTGGCCATCTTGGAATAGCCTTGTTTCCACAATCTCTTCTTCAGCCTGTCAAAGCCACAGAAAGGTCTCCAGGAGACCAGGCCCAGGAGGTGGTAAGCGCTTCAGTCCCTACGAAAGCTGTGTTCATGGGAGACCGCACGTGCCCCCCTGGCAGCCACAGGACCTCTGCCAAGGGTGCCAGTAGAGGGGAAGTCTCAGGTCATGGCAGACTCGACCTGTGGTTATGTGCTTGTGCTGGGGTCAGGCATTACAGTTTATTTGTGCTTAGCTATGTCTGGGCCTCCACTGGAGTGACCACTCTAGAGATGGCTGGGATGGTCCAGCTGGGGCTCTGCCTGGGGCCCGGCTTCTGTCTGCCAGGTAGATTCCTCTATCCCTCCCCTGGTAGCATCCATGGGGCCAAAACATCCAAAGTGGCTTTTCACTCACATTCCTGGAACCTCCCCCATCTTCCATGTGGCCTTTCTCCAGGAGAGTGGCCTGATCTTGTGCTGTTGTCCAGGCTCTCAGAACCATGGCCTCTGCTCCTGTCCACTGCAGGCCCCACTGTCCTCCTCCACCCCCTCCTCTGTTGTCCAGGTAACTGTCACATCATGAGACCCTGCCTCAGTGTGTACGTACAATTCACTGGGCCAGGATCCAACAGGAGCTGGCCAACGACCTTTGAAGTCATCTGACCCCACAATGGAAGTGAAGCAGCCAGACTAGTCAGGCTCCTCCTTTTGTAAATTTGAGCCAGAAATCAAAAAAGGTAGTGTGTGACCAGGTGTCATGAGGGCAAGCCGGGCCTGGATGGACCAGTGTTAGTCACAGTGACACTGGAGGAAAAAGAGTGAAGGAAACAAAGCAAACCGTGACGTGGAGAAGGTCGTGGAGGGGAAGCAAGCCTTGTTTGGAGCAAGTGCATAGAGGACAGAAGGCCGGGGCAGAGCCGCCAGCCCTGAGCTGCCCTGTTGCCGTGGCTCCCTGGGCCCAGCCTCGCCCAGGTGATACCACAGCAGCCGCACTGGCTGTTACCTTTGCTTGCAGTTGGCTTAGAAGTGGGCCTGCTACTTCATTCTGCTAATAACTTAGGGGAAGTGACAGGGACTGCCCGAGCCCCTGAGGCGGCAAGCACAAGGGGGAGGCCAGCATGCAGAGGTGACAGCAGACAGGCAAAAGGAGCCTGGGTCCTTGATGACAGGGTTGAGCCACTATACCTATCCTGGAACTACCTACTTCCATTATTGTTGCTGTGTAAGTTAAAAGTCTTATTTTCTAAGCAGATTTCTGCTACTTGCAGCCTGAAGCATTCCTATCCCCATAGCTGCCCCTTAGAGCACATGGCTCTTTCTGGAGCTCCAAGTGGAGACTCGCCCTGAGTGTTAACATGAGAAGTCCTGTTCATACGACAGGAAATAAAAGTCAGGATTTGTCACAGCTCACACAGCTGTTAGTTCCAACTGCCAGGGCCTATAGGATACAGACAAGGAAAGAAAAATATTCAGGACATTTCCACATGTATGGGCATGAGTCTTCTAAACTGGGGCTCAATAACGAATTTGAGGAAGATCAAGTTCAGTGGGGGGGTTAATGCCTAAGATCCAAAGCCCAAGCAAGGTTCAGGAAGCCATGGGAGGAGCAGGAAGTTGAGCTGAACAAATGGTAGGTAGGTTGGACAAATTCTGGGAAGGATGCCCAGGACTCCAGGTGGATGCTAGGGCTCGGCGGACCAGCCAGAAAGAAGCCTAAGCACCTGGAACTAACCATGGCCCTGACCCGCCCACCTGCCGACCTTCCTGATGCTTTAGGTTCTCAAGGAGTAAGATTTCCCCCGCGGCCCTCGGTTGCCACCCTGGCAAGCCCTGTTTCCTTATTCCTCATCTCTTCTCCCTCCATCTTCCCCTTTTTTCCTCCACTTTTGTCCTCTCCGTGCAAAGCCAGGCCTCAGAAATGCACAAGACCTGAGTCATTTCTAACGCAATTGGGGGATTAAAATGGAGGCGAGGGTATTTTGCTCGTCTAGAATGCCCATCTGGGAAGAGGAGTTAGATTGGCGGGAGGGGAAGCAATTGGTAAATGGGGACTGGAGAAAGCTTCCTTCCTGTCCAACTCTCATGTTCTTTTGTGTGTTTTTAACATAAGAAATGTACCCATTCTTCCCTTAGAAAATGGGAAGCTGAACTCAAGAGCCCTAGCCCTTCTTTTTTGAAACTCTTTTTAAAAATATAAAACGAAGATTAGACTGGCATCTTCTTAATCAGTCTTACCAATGCATACTGTTCCCCTGCATTCAGACCCTGAGAAAAGCCACCAGCCCCATTTCCCATCTCTGAATGATCTTGTGCAGATGTGACCCATAGAAGTTCTTCAAATCTTTGGAGCCCAGCCACAGATGTGTTGCAATCTTAGAAGTTGTGACCACCAGTTTCTGTCACTGAGCCTCGGCCCTCTCGGTGCAGTACTGTGCTCCTGCGCAAGGCATGCAGGCCTGTGCCCCAGGCTGAATAGCCCAAAAAGAAAATCCTGTAACCAGAGGAGTGAAATTCCTGGTTGGAGTGAATGAAGCAAAAAGTTTAACCCCTGCCTTGTGATAGGATGAACACATCAGAGCATTCTGTGAGCCCTGCATGTCCCTGGGAGTCACCAAAGAGCCTCTGAAACTCTTGAGACCAAGGGCACTTGTTCCCCCGGCTGCTGCTCATCAAGACTTTTCTCCAGTATGAAGTAGCCTGATGACTGACCTAGAGTGCGCTCATCTCTCAAAGACAGCGTCTCTCTCCTGTGAATCCCCCAATGATGAGAAAGAGCTAAGCAGGCCCATGTGATCCTACCCATTAGCCTCTCTCCAGGGTGACCTAATGTCCCCGCAGCCACGCTACCCCTAGACGGTCTGCCATATTCATGACACCTGACCAGCATAAGGCCCATTTGAGTCCATTGGTATTGTCCAAGGATAGGACTCTGATGAAGCCACCTCTTCCTCCATTATGCTTCCAGGACCCCTCTCTGCTGCAAACTCCCAGATGTCTGGCTGGTGCCAAGCACTATTTAAAGACAGTCGTTTGTTTGCATTCATCACATGCATATGGTTTTTCTCCAGTGTGACTTCTCTGATGTTGAATGAGCTTTGCTTTCTGAAAGCCCTCCCACATTTTATCACATCTGTAGTTTCTGTTGCATGTGACATAGCCAGTGCCGTGGGGGGGTGCTGACAGATGCCTCTCCCCACCCACTCTCTACAAGATGAGTGTTATTTCCAAAGGACTGGAGCCCCAAGGAAATTGCCTGTATTCACAACAGTCAAAGCTGTTCTCTCCGATATGAAACTGTAACACTGAATAAATCCGGAATCCTTACCCAAGACTTGGCCACGCGTGTCTTACTTGGACCTTATCTCACTTCTAAAAAGTTGAAGTGCAGATTTTTCCATGTTTACCACACTTGAGGGATGGGGTCCCTGAGACAGTGCTCTGGGGTGTGTCCGTCTTCATGGCCTGGCCAGCGTTGGCGACCCCCTCGGCGCGGCCTCTTTGCTCCCTCTGCTGTGGAAGACCCTGTTTGGATGTCAGCTTGTTCCTGGTCCCTTCTCACAATATAAAATTGTGGAAAATATAAGTATGGACCATTCTCTCTCAAAGGACAAGACAATTACTTGGACTGAGGGTGAAAGATTTTGGAAGAAGAATTAAAGACTGCCTTTGGCAGATATACAAAATGATGGCTTCTACAGATTGCTGGTTATTTAGTTCTCATTCCCTTCATGAACTCAATTTTGGTTACAGTGAAACTGTGCCTATTAAAAATACCTTCTCTAGTGACACAGGAGGGGCACGTGGGGAGGTACAAGGAGGCTGTGAGTGCTCTGTCCATTGTTCTGGATTACTGACCAGGTGGACATGCTCACCTTGGGAAAATCCATCAAGTTTTATATCTAATTTGTGCACTTTTTATACATGAAAAGTAAAAAAAAAAAAAAAAAAATCCATCTCTTCCCCCATTTCAGCAACAGGGCAGTCATGACAAATAAGATACAAGCAGAATTTGTGTTTTCAAAATACTTTGAAGGCAGCAGCCTCTGGACCATGACCCTTGTTGCTTCTCCCTATCTGGTCCCCTTCCTGCCTGCTCCCAGGATGTGACCAGGTGGAAAAGACCATGGGCAGAAGGTGGCTCCGTGAACATAGGAAGGGGCCCCTTCTTGTGGTTATGAAATTTTTCTTTTATAGTTTCTAAGTTTTGTGTGCTTGTATTTTTTCCAGTTCAGCAGAATTATTAGGATGTTAAGCCCTAACTCCTCCCAGTGTTCGTGTGTGTGTGTGTGTGTGTGTGTGTGCGCCCGCGTGCATGCGCGTATGGGATCTCACTATATTGCTCAGTCTTGAACTCATGGGCTCAATCAAACCTCCTGCTGCAGCCTCCCAAGTAGCTGGAACTACAGGTGCATGGCACATGCCTGGCTTATTAACCGAATTCAACAGTTCTTTTATGATTTTTTGAGGGGAGGGGATACTGGGGATTTAATCCAGGGGTGTTTAACCACTGAGCTACATCCCCAGCCTTTATTTTTTATTTTGAAACAATCTCACTAAGTGGCTAAGACTGGCCTGGAACCTTGTGATCCTCCGGTCTCAACCTCCAGAGCCACTGGGATTACAGGCGTGTGCCACTACACCTGGCTAGTATTTTTATGATTTTATTTTTATGTTCAAGTCTTGGATCGAAGTGGAATAGGAGCCAACTCTCCCCTCCCACCCATGGTCAACCAGCTGTCCCAACAATACCTAGTGAATAACTCTTCCCAACTATTTTGAAATGCTAACTTATTGTTAAATTCGTATTTAAATTGGGTCTTTGTCTTTAATCACTTTTATTTATCTGTCTGAACCTTCTCTAGTACCTAATTATTTTGCTTTATCATTTGTTTTAGCATCTAATAAGGCCAGTCTCCTCATTACCCATTTTTTCACAACACTCATGTTAAAAAAGGGGGGCAGTTAAGTTGGAGTCACTCAGATCGAAAAATGAAAAAAAAAAAAAAATGGAGATTGGACCAGAGGCACTTTACCACTGAGCCATATCCCCAGACCATTTTATTTTATTTTAAGATAAGGTCTTGCTAAGTTGCTGAGGCTGACCTCAAACTTGCCATCCTCCTGCCTCAGCCTCCTCATCCCTGAGATCATAGGCATGCACCATCCCACCTGGCTGAAAACTACCTTCAAGAAGTGTTAAATGGGGCTGGGGTTGTGGCTCAGCGGTAGAGCACTTGTCTCGCATGCACGGGACCCTGGGTTCTATCCTCAGCACCACGTAAAAAATAAATGAGTGAAATAAAGGCATTGTGAATAAATATTTAAAAAAAAAAAAAGAAGTGTTAAATGTGGCCAGTTGACAACACATGGACAAGATATTAGATAAAAAATGATGAAAGGAAAATAATGTAACATAATCACAAAATATTAGGTTCACTTATGATGTCAGAGGTTGCACAAAGCTTCCATAATATAGATAACATCTTAACAATATCCTTATTCTAAGTAATCATTGTTTTTTCTACAAGTTCTTCCTGGAACCATCTTATATAAAGAGGTCATATTTTCTCTTAATAATTACTTGTATCCAGAACTCAGCATCAAAGAAATCCCAGCTATAATAAATACATCAGAAACGTAATATGCTATGACATGGAGGTATATATAGAGAGATAAGCACACAGATACCCAAGAGATATATTATCTCAACACTGGTGATTATACAGGTCTCAATGAAGTGTGAATTCTACACAAAGCAAAAACCACTCTGCCATTCTATCCAGTCTAAAAATAGTCTATGACAAAAAAACAAACAAAATGTTAGCAATTGTGCTTCCCTTTTTGGAATTCAGGAAGATCATGAGGAAATTATGTGTGATGTGCAGGTTCTTTTCAAAATAAGCTTTCCACAGAAAATGGAAATGATCCTTTCTCTTTCGTCTGATACATTTTCCTGAAACAAACAGATGCATTCAGAATAATTCCATTGACCTTATTGCTGCATATAATTTTAGGCTTTCCCAGATCATGGCTATTATAGTTGTATTTAAAGGCATCATTGGGACCATAACTTAAGTGTATGAAAGAAATATTAAGAGACCTAGTTTCTTGTGTCATGCCTTTACTGGAGAAATGTTCCAATTTTGTGTAATAAAAATAAAAATGACATGTTTGAAAAAATATGGACTCAGTAAAAAATTAATTCCTCCAATGAGTCAGAATTTGCTAGAGAAAAACAGGAGCTGATGTAAGTGTAAAACAAGCATATAGGCTGCTCAGATGCCCTCCTTCCAAAGAGGACATTAGGGAAGGGGGCAATTGGGAGTAACTGCAGTGGAGAAGCCCAGAAAACACGGCCTCCACCAAGCCCTGACGGTGAACACTGATGGGATTAGACATGTTGTGATAATATGTGATGAGAGGGGCCATCATCCCCAAAACCCATAACTCCAGTCTGATGAGAAAAGTGTGAAATAAAGCCCAAATGAGGGGCATTCTACAAAACACCTGAACAGTACTCGTCAAAACTGTCAAGGTAAGCAAGAATAAGGGAAGTCTGAGGAAACGTGTCTCAGCCAAGAGGAGCCAAGAAGACACAACAGGTAAATGTCATTTCATGTCCTGGATGGAACAGAAAATTACATTAGATAAATTTTTAAGGAAATTTAAAAGCCTGAGCTTTATTTAATAATAGTGGTTATTCAATTATGGCAGATGAACCATAAGAGATCAATAATAGAAGAAACTAGGTATGGGGTATTATCTTTGGAACTTTCCTGTAACAAAACTATCCTAAAGTTTTTATTAAAAACAAAATAAAGGGCTGGGGCTACAGCTCAGTGGCAGAGCACTTGTCTAGCATGTGTGAGGCACTGGCTTCAATCCTTAGCACCACATAAAAATAAAGACATTCTGTCCATCTACAACTACAAAAAAAAAATTAAAAACAAGTTAAAACTATTAGAAGAGGTTGATGTTGTTTCCAGACAAGATGACATAGATGCAGAGTTCTCTGTTCTTCCCCCTGAGTACAGCTTAAACCTTGGATATCATACATAAGACAAATATCAGAAGACAGAAGGGACTCTCCAGGGACCTTGGGACTGAAGAAATGGCACAGCACTGAGTTCCCTGGATTTTCTGGTTGTTTTCTCTATATCCTGGGATGGGCATGGAAGAAGCATGCAACCCAGAAAGCCCACTGTATACAGACCAAAAAGCAAAGCCCCAGAGCCAGAGAAGAGGCACAGCCCATCAGTATAGGAATATTTTTGGCAATGTCTGCCCTACTCTGGACAAATGCCATGCGGAAGAAAACCTCTACCCCAGCCCCACCCTAGCCCACAATCAGCAGAGTTCAAGTGTGAGCCCAGACTCCCTAGCAGGAATGAGGTGTTCCTCTCCATTTACACGCTGTCACCAAGAAGGGAAGAATCAGGACTCACCCCTACCCCATGGTAATGAGGCAGAATGTGCCATGACCTACCAGTGTGGTTTTAGCAGAGGTCTGATAAAATAGACTTCAGTTTAAGATTCAGAGCCTCATAATAGATAAAAATGTCTAGATTACAATAGAAAAGTAATTCATCTTACTAAGAATCAGAAAAATATCAACTTGAATGAGAAAAGATAACATGTCAACCCTGAGATGATACCAGGTTGAGTTTATATGACAAGTACTCTGAAGCAGCCATCACACACACAAAAAGCTTCAGTGCACAATTATGAACGTCCTTGAAACAAATGAAAAATTAGGCTCAGCAAAGAAGCAGAAGGAATAAAGAAGAATCAGGGCTGGGGATGTGGCTCAAGTGGTAGCGTGCTTGCCTGGCATGCGCAGGACGCTGGATTCGATCTTCAGCACCACATAAAAATAAAATAAAGATATTGTGTCCACCGAAAACTAAAAAATAAATATTAAAAAAAATTCTCTCTTTAAAAAAGAAGAATCAAATGGAAATCTTACAACTGAAAACAATACAATAATAAAAGTTTAAAACTCACCAATTTTACTCATTATTAACAGTACAGAGATGACGACAATAAGAACAATTGATGAAAAGTACCCAAACTAAGTGATAGAAGGAAAATTGAAAAAAATTAACAGGACTTCAGGAGCCTGTGGAAGAAATTTTAAAAATGTAACATATCATTGGAGGAAGAGTAAAAGTAATGAACGTAGGGCTGAAAAAATATTCCACGAAGTAATACTTGAAACTTCTCCAGATTTGGCAAAAGCCAAAATCCTACAGATTCAGTAAATGCAAAGGAATCTGTATCAAGTAATATCATAATCAAACTTCTGAAAACTAAAGCCAAAAAGTCTTGA